CGCCTCTTGCTTTAGTTTATTGGAAAGATTATTCTTATTAACTTCTGATAGGTTGCGTTTTTTTAGAGTTATAACTTTGGGATCCTCGTTGGATGGGGCTTTGAAAGGATTTATTTTAACGTATATTGGGAAGTGATCACTAATATCAGTTTTAAAAATACCTGTCTCAAATGACGTTTCTATATAATTGTTAATAAAGATATTATCGATTGCAGTTGCCGAACTTTTAGTTACCCTAGTTGGTTTATTTATAACTGGTAAGATATTATATTTAAAAAGCATGTCAAAAAAAGATTTTGTTTTTGGATTATTTTTATATGTCAGAGCGTTCAAATTTATGTCGCCGGCAGTTAACAATTTTTTTTTTTTTCTTTATTTATTTTTGAGACTGTATTTTTTTATGAATTCTTCAAACAATTTAATTTTTCCACTCGGTGGACGATATACGCACCCAACTAAAATGCTTTTATCTTTGTCATTTATTATTTCAATAAATAGACTTTCATAATTAAAATTTGACGAGCATAGTTTATTTTTTATTTTAAATGAATATATTTGTTTAAAACATAAACACCAACTCCTCCTCCGTTTTTATTACTTTCTCGCGGTTGACTAATTAGTTTATAATTAGGCAATTCGTAAATAAAATTAGAATTAAGTGTATTTTCATGCCAGGTCTCTGAAAGAGATATGACGTCAAATGTGTAATTTATAATATTTAAGAATTCTTCCCAGTGGGCACAGGACGTAAAAAAGACGTCCTTAGGACGTTCAAATCGCGTCCGTCCGTGCCATTAAAATTCTAAACGTCTTTTCAACGTCTTTTTTCGCGTCCAATAATTTTTTCGTCCAGAATGCTTTATTAAATAAAAAAAAATCAGTTAAATCACGCAAGCGCTAAAACTTCTTAAAATTTTTAAGTAACGCATTTTTAATAAAGTTTTTTTTCAATTACAAAAGAAGTCTTTTTACAACAACTAATAGACACGTTCCATCTAATTTTTGTTTTTGTTATTAATTGAAAATTGTGGTAATATTGATACAGGAAATGAAATTTTTACAGATAATGAAAGAAACGGTTTAAAACTGAATATATGCTATACTATGTTACATATTGTATTAATATTGTATTAATATTGATATAATTAATATTGTATTAATATTAATATTAATATTGTATTTATATTGTATTAATATTGATACTATCAATATTAATACGATTCTCAAGAAATTAAATGTTTAAAAATATATATATAAATTAGCAAGAACCTGTCTTTAAGTCGCTTTTCATAAGGTGCTTTTAATATTCTCCTTAAATATTTGGGAAGTTCCAAACCTTGATTTAGCAATATTTCAAGAAGATCATTAACTAATGTACTAGTCCCATTATAAAATAGCATATTGTTGTCGAGTAAAGATATTGAATTCAAAGAATTATCAGGATAATTGTTCCATGTATCATTAACAGGTTTTCCAATTGAAAAATTCGATTCTGCATGAGATGTCTAAATCTTTGAAATTGTTAGAACTTGGTTCTTGATATAGCAATACTATACTAATAGTATATCAA